GCATGGACACACCTCTTCGCCGTCGTGACGTGTTTGTCGTCCGCGTTGCCTGTTGGCCGTCTGGCCTGACGAAGAAGAAGAAGAAAACTCGAGTGCGACATTCATATTATTATTTTTTGTTGTTGGTGTTTGTGTTTCCCCCTTCTGTCCGCCTTGGCGCTGGGAGTTGTTGGGGGCAGCTGCGACTGGGCGGCACGAAGCGTTTGCGGGAGGGATAGAGAGAGAGCGGGAACGTGCGGAATAGAGAAGCTCTGCGGGGTGGTGACGAGGGAGCGGGTACGCACACCGACGTCTGTACACGCCGTCTCCGTATTGCTTGCTGAGTTGCGTCCACGCTGGCTTCTCTCTGGCCGCACTTTTCTTTGCCGAGGTGAGGAGGGATAAGCAGGGAAGCGACTAACAAGGGCTGGGCTGCGGTACCAGGCACCACAAGTATGAATGTTCCAGGCACCCAACAGGGAACCTCGGGCTTTGGCCTCACCATGGCGATGGCGCCGGGCGGCTCCACATCGTCTGGCAACGCGCTGGCGGGCGAAAGCACAACCGTGAACGTTGGAGCGAAGCAGCGTCCTGCGGCGGACCTTGCGGAGGAGGAGGTGCTGCAGTACATTGTCGACAACGTAAACAAAGTACTGTCTCGGAAGTACTCGTTGGTGGAGTTTGACGCCATTCAGGGCGTTCCCCTGCTTCAGATCGTCAACGACGTCTTTGGCACTCTGTCGCCGCCGCAGCAAATGGACCTGGAGGAGGTGCCCATCGACGAGGCTGCGCCGCGCATGATGGAGTTCCTGACAAAAACGCTCGGGTACCGAATCCCGGCTCTGATGGCGGACAGTTTTGCGGCTGGTTTCATGCAGGCCGAGCCGACGATCGTGTACCCGACGCTTTACTGGGTGCTCTCCAACATGCCGCAGAACGAGAAGCGCGTGTACCTTGCCCGCTTTCTGCAGCGACTTGACATCCCAGAGGCGATGCGGGCGCAGGACGAGGATGTGCGGGCTCTCTATCAACAGTATGAGAGCCTTCGCACGATGTTTGTTCAGACGCATCGAAGAGTTGATGCGCTGCGGACCGCCCACGCAGACCCCGCAGAGGCGCGTCGAAAAGTCACGGCACTTGAGGAGGAACGAGATCGTCTTCAGGACTACATTCAGGTGGCGGAGAAAAAACTCAGCGGGGTGCCCGACAAGGAGTCGCTTGTGAATGCGAGCAAGTCCCTCCGCGCGGCACTGGAGGAGGAGTCGCGGTTGGCTGAAAAACGGGTGGAGCTGCAGCAGTCTCTCATCTCCGCGGAGCAGCGGGGCACCGAGATGCAAAATCGGCTACAGAACCTTCGCCGTGACGCTGCGGATGGTCGGGTGGACGTCATTGTGCGCCGCTTGCGAGACGAGATTCAGACGAACAAGATGATTCTCGAGGAGCAGCTTCCAAAAGAGCTTGAGCAGAAGCGCCGGGAGAACGACGAACTGAATAAGCTGATTTCTGAACCGCTCGACATGCAGGCACTCACGACGGAAAACCAAAAGCTCGATGAGGCGTTAAAGAAACTCCAGCTGCAGGTAAAGGAGCGCCAGAAGCCGGGCGAGGATGGAAGCACCATTGCAACCATCAAACAACAGGTGGAACGGGTTGCAAGGCGCAAGCAGGAGGTACTGGAGATGCTCACCAGCCTGCAGGCTGACAATAGTCGCACATTGAATGAAATGCGGGATAGGGAGAATCGTATCAATCAACTGCGTGAGGCGCATCAGATGTTGAAGGGGGATGAATTTCGTGCCTTTTCAAATCAAGTCTTGGCAAAGAAGGCGGCAAGCGAGGGGATGCGGGCGAAATTGTCCGAGCTGCGTGTTGAGTGGGGTGTACTCACCTTCACGGAAAACGTCCTCAAGGCGCAGTTTAATGACCTTGACGCCGAGATTGGTGACCTTGAACGGAAGCTCGGGCTGCAGGGATACAGCCGCACAATGGAGACCCTTAGCAAACTGACACGTGAGAAGGACACCATCGAGGAACTCAAGGGCAAGACACTTGAGGAGCTCTCACGCGTTGTGCAAGACTTTACCATGGCAATTCGTGAGCGCCGAACGAAGCTTGCTCCACTGATTAATGAGCTACGGGAGGTGCGTCATACGGCATCCGAGGTGGATCAAGATTGGCTATCAAAAAAGTCACATTACGAGTATCAAGAGAGCCTGCTTATGGAGGATATCTCAAAGCTGGAGCGCGATGTGCAGACACTGCGGGACGAAACAAACCTGAACGAATCCATCTACCATCGTCTACAGGCACAACATACGTTGATTACCGCCCAATGGGATCGTCTGGAGGGGGAGCGCGAGTTTGCGGAGATTGTGAAGAGCGGCTCCGACAACCCAACTGAAGAGGAACTTGCGCACGCCGCCGCAGCTCCAGGGAGGAGCCGGAAGTGCACGTACTGCGGCAAGACGACCCCGACGAAGGGGTGGCTGCTGTACCACCTAAACAAGGATCACGGCGTCAATGTACTGACAGAGAAGGGATTTGAGCACGCAATAGAAGACTTGCAGGTCCGTCTGAGGGAGATGCAGCAGCGACAGCTCGACATTCACGAGAATTATGAAGGGAATGTTCAGCAGGTGGAGTGGTTCAATCATCTGAAGCGCATCCTGGAGGCAAAGCTACACTCAATTCAGACCGAGGAGCCACACGGTAGCAGTTCGCTTGACAAGGACATCCAGCAGGTGATGGGCACTGCGGGGGCGGGCGGCAACGGTGTAGACATGCTGGTCTTGACAGGCAACTAGAGTAGTGACTATCGTCGCCATGGGTGCAACGCGGCGCAATAGACGATGTGAAGAAATACAAAAAGGGACGTGGAAAAGGCGAAATAAGATGAACGGCACACTAAAAGAGTCTGAGAAGAGCGAGTGAGCGAGAGAGCGAGCAAGAAAGTGAGTCGTAATGACTGCGAATGGGAGGGTCAGGCTCTTTTCAACAGCGTTTCTGCCTCTTCTCCGCGTGTGCCGCCGAATTTTTCCCTCTCCCCCCGCTCTTTTTTTTTTAAATTTGTTTAAAGTGTTTGTGTAGGTTATTCTTGCAGGCGTCGTGTAGCGTTGGAGTGGGCGGACGGGGGGAGGGGGGAGCATTGAGAAAGCAACTTCAGCCACAGTTGAAAGTTCATTCCGTCTCCAGAACTGCGGGGAGAGAACGCCCCTGCCTCGACGCGTTTCTTCTTATTTCTTCTTGGCCTTTATCGCCCTCTGCGCCCTTTGTGTCCGCCTTTCTCTTTCTCTCTATTTGTCTATTTCTCTCTATTACCACGTTTTCTTCCCCTTCTGCTTTTTTTTTTCGCTTTGTAACTTCCCGTGCGGCAGGACACCCCTCTGCCCCCCCGCAGATGAGACGGGGGCCGCGGCAGGACCCCCGCCCTGCGAGGGACACGGGACTGAATAGCAGTGATGTGGCGGCGGGCGCGGAGCGCCCTCGCTCCGTGAGAAGAAACGTTTACCTGCTGACACCACTGGCGAGTTTTTCTACCGAAGACTTGGCGCAGCTGCGTCGCAGGTCCCCCGACGCGTATCAGGCGCTCCTGCAGTACGAGCAGATTTGCCGCCACGACACGGCGGTGATCGAGGCCAAAGAGGCGGAGCTGCAGCGCTGCATCGACGTCGGGCAGGAGGTTCTCGGGCAGTTGGACCAGTTGAAGGCCCGCTGCTCGCAGCTCGCGGACGAGCGAGACGGGGCGGACGCAAAAGCACGGGAGCTTCAGCAGCAAGTGATGGGTTTAGAAGCCGCACTGCACCGAGGCGAGGGCGAGCAGCCGTCGGCGGCGGTGCAGGGAGAGTCAAGGAAAACGCAGGATGCGCTCCGCGAGCAGCTGCGCCACTGCGAGACGGCTGTACAGCAGTCGCAAACACACGAAAAAGCTCTGGAAAGGGAGTTGCAGGAGCAACAACTGCTTCATGACGCGCTAAAGCGGGATCTTGAAACGGCCACACAAACCGCACGGATCGCTGGCGTGAGAAGTGAGGCGGCGGAAACGGCGCGCCGCTCTGCAGAGGCCTCTTTGCAAGAGATGGGGTCGCGCGTGGAAGCGCAGGAGAGGGAATTGCTGCGCGCCCGCGCGGCTCAGCGTGAGTTGGAGGAGGAGCTTCGGCAACGGCAACAGGAATGGGCGACGGCGGCGGCACTTCAACACGACGCGAATAAACCATCCGCTGAGCTGCTCACTGCGGCTGCCATGCTTGTCACGCTACATCAGCAGCTACAGGAGCTTGCCCAGGAAACAGGGCGTAGCCACAGCAGGAAGCAGCAGCCGTCGCCAGTGGCGTTTGCGCAGTTCACGCGGCTGCGCTTGCCGACGGTAGCGACAGTCGGCGCCACGGCGGAATCCGCTCTCGCCCCAGGGCAGCTGGAGCACTGGTTTGCTGACTCCCTAGAGGAGACCTCGCACCTTGTGCACGAACTCTCGCGGGCTTCGCAGCATGCGGAGGAGCGTTTGCGTCGCTGTACCTCCGAGGTAGAGCACGTCAACGCCGAACGACAACGTGCGCATGAAGAGGTCCTTAATTTGGGTCGAGAGAATGAACAGTTACGGCTGGCGCTTGTGGCGCTGAAGGAGGAGGTGCAAGCGTTAGATGCGCAGACAGACCGTCTGCGCGAGGTAGACTCACTCGAAGTGCGACGGGAGGCCAGTTTGCGTCTCGCGGCACTAGAGGAGGAAAAACGTGCGGAACAGGCAGCGCACCAGCGTGAGTTGGAGCGGACGCGGCGCCAGGGCGCCCTGGAGCTTGCCAGTCTTAAGGAAGACCTGGAAACCGAGCGGCGCACGCTGGAGCGTGAGGTTCGTTCACTTCGCGCCGAACTCAACCAATGGCGTGCAGAAGAAAAGTCGGCGGCGGCATCTGCAGGGCGTGTGGCGACCGCACTGTCGACTTCGAATGACGAGCAGTTGGCGGCGATGAAGCGGCAGCAACTCGCATTGCAGGACAAGGTTGAGGAGCTGGGGGCGGAGAACCTTCGGTTGCGTACAAGGGCCTTGCAGGAGTTGGAGGAGTTGCGCGCAGAGAATACTCGTTTGGAGCAAGCTGTGCAAGACGGCAGGACCCGCTACCAACGGCAGGCGCAACGACACGAGGAGGCGATGGAGAACTTAGAACAGTCAAAGCAGGAGCTGCAGCGGCGGCTTCGTGAAGAGGAGTCGGCTGCCCTGCGCCGGATAGAGGAGCTGCAACTTGGGGCGGAACGCATGAGCGCTGTCGAGCGTACGTTGAGGGGCGAGTTGCTCAACGTCTGCTCCCAGTTGGAGGGCACGACGGCGGAGAGGGAGCGGGCAATGGCGCTGCTGCGTGAGAGTCACGAGGCGGAGCTGGCCGAAGTCCAGCGCGAGCTGGCGACGGTGCGGCAGTGCGTCGAAGAGAAGAACTCGCGTCTCACTGCGGAGAATGATGACCTTCGGCAGCAGCTGGAGCGGACGCAGTGCACCAAGGCGGAGGAGCTGGGGGCGAAGGATGTGGCCATCGCAGCGCTGAATCGCCAGTTGTGTGACGCCGGAATTGAGGCGGCGAAGATGCAGGACGCCATTCATCGCTCCACACAAAAGGCAAAGGGGTTGGAGGAGGAAACCGTCCCTGTCGACCGCTACGAGGAGATTGAAACGGAGTTGATGCAGGAACGCGAGCAGGTGCAGGCGCTTGTTAGTTCACTGAATGCAGCACAAGCGCAGCTGGACGGGCTGCGGGGGAATTTGGATGAACAGCGGACGTGCGTGCGGGATTGTCTGCGGCAACTGCCGCCTTGCCCTGCCCGACAACTTGCGGAGGTCGCCTCGCTGCTGCAGGCTATTCAAAAGAAGACGACCACGCGTCTCCTTGCCATTCTTGACGACCCACAGCTGGTCTACGTGCCAAGGTTCAGCTTGCAGCGGGAAGAGGCGGAGGTGGCGACGCCGCGTGTCTCCATTGACGGTGCAACCCCCATGTCTACAGGAATGCAGCGCGTTGATTTCTCTCCCGTAGTGTCTCCACCAAACACTTCGCCACTTCCACCGCTGCTTCAGCAGCAGCAACAGCAACAACAGCAGCTGCGCGTGGAGCCGAGCGGGAGTCGAACCCTCTCACCACCGACTTCGACATTGGAAGACGACCTGAGTCCTCCTTCTACACCAGGTGTCTGGCAACCTCATGAGCTCGCTGCGGCCTTCTCCAGCGGCCTCCACATATTTCTCCGTGATCTGACACTGTCAATCGAGCAGGTGTTGCTGCGGCCCTACACCCATGCGTGGGAGTCCTTAGAGCGCCTATGTCGTCTCTGCCTCGGTGCCTCCCCCACGACCGCCACGACTGGCCTCAGTGCCACACCTAAAGCTCAACCGGTGGCCACCGACGGCGGCGTCGCGGGCAGCAGTAATGGAGGCCTAAATGACGAGAATGAAAATAATTCCGCAGCAGCAACAACAACAAGCGTACGCCACGAGGACGCAAACGATGACGCCATGTGGGGTGTTGTGGCCGGCAGAATCGTGGAGGCCTACGTGGATGCCTGCGCAGTGGTGCTTAGGCGCGCGTATCGTGCCACAGCTAGCTGTCCGCGCGGCGGGGAAGAGACCCCACAGAGGACCAGTCAGCACCCAAACATGCAAGGCGAGGAGCGCGTGCGTCACGGTGCTTGCGTGGGGGAGGAGCGGGAGCGGGAGCGGGGGCCGGCACTGTTACTGCAGCTGGCGACAGCGCACTCAAAGGCGGATGCAGCGCAGCGTTCCGCTGAGGAGGCAAATGCCGAGCTAGGAAAGGTCTCCTCGCGGTACAATGAGATTTGTACGCGTGTGGAGCACCTTCAAGAGCAACTTGCTGCCAAAAAGCACGAATTCGAAACAGAACGAGGACAATGGCGTGAGACGGTTAGTAAACTTCAGCTGGAGCTTGCGGCACGACGGCAGAGTGAGGAGGAACGGCAGAAGCAGCTTTTGCGAGAGGCAGACGAGTTGCGGGTGGAGCTGCAGAACGTGCAGACCCAACTACGTGCTGCACGTGACGAAGAAGAGCAAATTCGCCGTGACGCGGGTAAGACAAGGGAGGAGATGCAGGAGGAGACGCGTCGTCTTGAGCGGGAGTTGCAGGCGGCACGCGCCGCACAAGAGAAGGCGAGGCAAGCACAGCACGAGGCCCGTGAAGAACTAGCGGCGGCCAAGCTGGCGCTACAGCAGCGGCAGGACAGTGGCGTGTCGCGGGTGAAACAGGCGGAACAGGAGATTGAGAAGCTGCAACAGGAGCTTAGCGAGGCACGCGCCGCGCATCACTCTGTGCAGCGTTTGCTGCAGACGGAAAAGCTTCGTAGCGAGGCCGCGGAGGGTCACTCGACGGACCTCAGCAACCAACTGACGGAACAGCACCTGCAAACAGAGACGCTCGAACACCGTGTGACGGAGCTGCAGGAGGCATGGTGGCTTCAACAGGCGGCAATTGACGCGATGACGCAAGAAAGTGAGGCGCTGCAAAAAGTAAATCGCGTCCTGGAAGAGCGGCTTGCAAAGGTGGAAAGCGAAAGAGAGCCCTTGCGGCAGCAGCTCCAGAGCCTGATTTTGCTTGAGCCGCGTTGAATGCGGTGTGCATCCTCCCGTCTTTAAATTCTTTTCCCAGTTTGGCGCAACTTTTTCCGCTGACGAGTGCGGTGGTGGTGGTGGCGGCGGCGGCGGCGGTGACTAGAGGGCTTGAGTATAACGAAGTTCAAGAGCGAAGTAGAGGAGGAGGACGTGCGTTTGTGCTGTGATTACCTGGCTGATCTTTGTGTGCACCACTTGGAGTGGGGCCAACTGAAAAAGAACGAATACATTTGGGAGGGGAAGAGGTATGTGTCGTTCGTCCCTCGAGTTTCCCTCTCTTTGCTTTCCTGGCCAGGAGGTTGTGCCTTCGTGTCGTCATCGTTTAAGTTTATTCTTCTTTCTTCGGTTTATTATTCATCTTTTTTTTGGCTTTATGTACGTGCGCTGCAGAGCGGGTACAACGAACGCGTAATTGTTGATCCGCTTCATTTGTGGCGGCGAAGGTGTCTGGTCTCAATGACGGCAGCGGCAGGGCGTGGGAGCAAAGAAACCGACATGTTTAGCGGCGGTGGCGGCGGCGGCGGCGGCGGCGCGAATGCCAACGGCGCTGGTGACCAGCGGGGACCGCAGGCGTGGCTCGAGGACAAGTTGGTGCAGTCGGAGTTTGGGATCACGCCGGCGACGGGGGTGGGCGGGCGTGAGACCAGGCCCCACGTGCATCCGCGGCGTTTTTCTACGCGGGAAAGAGGAGGAGTACCGCGGCAAAAAACACATTGACCCGCACCACATTGGCCTTTCCGACGAAACGAAGCGGGAGGAAGGTCGTTACGGGAAGAGGCGGGTGCAAGGCTTCTCGGGGGGCTGCAAAGACACCGTTTTCAGTCTCCTGGGCGGGAGTGACAACGGTGCACCGCCGGAACCGAATCGAGTGAAGCCACTCAGCAAGCATTCAAGCACCTCGGTGCAGGTGGCAGAGGCGCGTGTCTTGGACATTGCCAGGAACCCGTCCTACGCTGAGGCGGCGCGTGAGGTTCTGCGCCACGCCGGAAATCCATCAATTGTGCGTGAAGAAGAGCGCCTCTCGCGGCGCATTGCTGCAGTGGAGTATGCGAAGGGAAGTCGTGCGCGGTGTGCGGCGCTCCAGGAGCAGCACAAAGCAGTCGATTTGGGAACACCAGGCGATAAGATTCAGGTCCAGGTGCCTTTTGCGCTTGACCAGTCTGCACCACGTCCCGACAATGTCCCGGAGCATCGCGGGGTGCACTATCGTAACGCGGAGTCTAGCCCGCAGCCAGAAAAGCCTGCAAGACGCTGCGGTGGCGCAGCGCAACACCGCGGACTGCGGGACCACGTGCAGCTCTCGCAGAACGAGTACCCTGACCCCCCCGCTGTTGGCGTTCGTACGGTGCCGCGTATATCAACACGGCCGAGCTCTTCGCAACAAAGGTCATCAGCGTGTCTTGATGAGGAAATGCTTCGCCGATCACGGGCCCGTTGCCACCAGAGCGCAAGCCAGCGAATGCCAGACTTTATTTTTGGCCGTCCACCCCCACCCGAAGCACCACACAAGACACTTCGTGGTATTACCGAAGAGCGCTGGAAAAAAGAGGAAACCCGCGCGGCGGAACGACGCACCGGGCGGGCGATGACACACCAAAGTCACAAAGTAACTGCCTTGTGGTGAGTTATACCGGTTTTGTTTCTATATCTGTGGGCGTGTGTGTATGGAGTGGATGACTGCCACTCGTATGGCCTGTACTTGGCGCCTTTTTTTTTCTCTTTCTCTGCGTTTCCGTGCCACCCTCTCTGTGGTGCTGGGTGAGACCTCCTGAGGGCACTGGGAACTCCGCAACGGCGGCATGGGCGTCTGTGCGACATCCCGCTGTATATATCGCCATTCCTCCACTCAGCGCCCACCCACCCACCCACTGCAAGGAACGACAAGAAGAAACACCTGTGTCCCCTTCTTCAAATTTGGTTTCGGTTCTTTTTTTTCCCCCGTCTTTCCTAGACGTGTCTTTCGCCTCTTTTTTCCTGTACCTGCTTCGGTTGTCGCTGTTGTGTGTGTGTGTTGTTCTTTTTTTTTTATTTGGCCTTGCCTTTTTCTTTTCCATCTCTGCGTCC